GCCAGTAGTCCCAGCTACTCGGGAAGCCAAGGCAGGAGGATCACTTTAACCTGGGAGGTGGAGGATGCACTGAGCCGAGATCAAGCTACTGCACTCCAGCCTGGGACAGAGCAAGACTCCATCTCAAAAAATGAAACAACAACAAAAAAGTTTTTTAAGGTTGAGGGGGTCGCAGGCATGGTGGCTCACACCTGTAATCCCAGCACCTTGGAAGGCCGAGGAGGACAGATCACTTGAGGTCAGGAACTCCACTGGATCCAGCCAGGTCCCTAGACCCGCCCTAGCTCAGGGCGACTCCGGGACTCATGCCTATCCCCTGAGACCTGTTTCCCCACTCCAGACTGGCTGGAGACCTGATGGACTTGCACCCAAGCTAAAGGGCTGAGGTAGGGAAGGCAGACAACACTCACCATGGAGCCTCTCTTTCCTTTGACCCATGAGAAAACCATGGATCAGAGACGCCAATGCATTTGCCCAAACCACCCAGGTAGTAGGAGACATGGCTGGACTCCATCTCAAGGCTTTGACTTCTCATACCGATAGGACCACCAGAAGGGGACTGTCAGGCAGGCCTGTCTCAGACCCTTGGTGCCCGAAGCTGGAAAGCACTCTGGGGCCCTATAAAAATGTTTTACTGGGCATGGTGGCTCACGCCTATAATCCCAGCACTTTGGGAGTCTGAGGCGGGCATTGATGCATCTAGAAGCAGACCTGGGGTTGATTCGCTCTCCCTAGGAAGACCTCAGCCAGATTGCTGCCAGCTGCCAGAGACCTACTTGTAGCCAGTAGATTTCCAAAGCAAAATGATAAATTACAAGAATAAGTAACACCAGGTGAGCACTTAGCAAATGCAAGCTTGCGTCCTCAGGCTATTTTAAGTCCTTTAATCCCCACAGCGACCCTACCAGTTCAATGGAAACCCAGGCCCAGGGAGGTCGCACCTCTGGGGAGGGGCAGAACTGAGATCTGAACCCCACCAAGCTTGGCGTCTGTGCCCTTGACCCCTCAACCTCACGTTTTACAACAGGGTCATTTGTAGAAAGGGAGGTTCGGGGACGTTGGTGACCGTTTGACTTGGTGCTGGTCTGGATGTAGAGACATGAGCCCCAAGACCTGCGCGGGAATTGGAAACTGGGTCCGGACCCAGCTTGGTCACCTACGCCGGGGTAACAGCACTGCACACCACCCCGGCAGGTCCAGCTAGGGATCTGGACCACGTGGCTGGGATGCAGCACAGCCCCTGACCACGCCCCTGTGACTGCCGCTGCCAGGACCAGGACTGGTGACCAATGAGAAGGCGCGCATGAAAAGCTCCGCCTACAAGGTGCTTCTTGCTCGGTGATTGGCCATTTCAGCTTCCCATCACTTCTCCCATCCTCTGGCCTACAGCCTCCCTGGAAGTCTTTAATTTTTCCCACACATCTGCCCCGCACACGCTGTTCCCACAGCCAGGAACACCCTTTCCCCTCTTCTCCGGGATAAGCTGCTTTATCCCCCTGTCTCTGCCGAGATGTCCCCTCCTCCAGGAAGTCTTCCCTGACTCCCAAAACTGGGTGGAAAAGGTCATCTGCTCTCGTCACATCAGTTTTCATATTTGCCTCCCAAGCAGGTGGTAAGTTTCTTAGAAGCCAGGACTGGGTCTCTGAAAGCTTTGTCCCTCGATTGCCTCACATAGTAGGTACTCAAGAACGTATGCTAAATGGATTCATCTGGTCTCAAAGATTGACTTGGGTCCCTGGGGGCCCAAGAGAAGGGGTCCCTGGAGACCCCTTCTCCCCAGTTCCTCTACCCAGGGCACCTCCTGCACTCAGCTCTTCTTCCAGCCCATTCATAAGCACCTGGGGGGTCTGTATCTAGTTCTGTCTCCCTCAGCCTGGAAGATCCTTGAGGCCAGGATGGAGTGAGAGTGGCACAGAGGGATTGGCTGGTGGTAATGGGGAAGGGGGATTGTTAAGTAAATGAATGCATCATCTGACTGGCAAACTCCTATGCACTCCTCAAAACCCCAGTTGCAAAGTCTCATTTTTCGGAATAAGTTCCCTGTCTTTTCATAGTCCCCGCTTCCCCAGCTGCTGGCTTCACCCTCTATCCCAGCCCTGATGTCACAGAGATGGGAGACTCCGTATCCAGCTGATCTTCCTCCAGACTGATGTCTCCTTGGGCACCAGGACTGAGACCACTTGGGTACGACAGCATCACCCAGCTAGGAAAGTTGTCAAGGAGTGTTTATTGAATGAATGAATGATTGGATCTGTGGCAGGGCCTGCAGTCAGTTACCCTGGGTTCACATCCCAGTCAACACACAGGCCACTGGATCTGTCCCTTTGACGTCTCTGACCCTCACTTTCCAGGCTACTACATGTGTTTACTCAAAGCCCATGCCCCAGGTGGTTGCAAAGATGAAACGAACCAACACACACAAATCTTGTGACTAAAGGGACATCAGGCCTCCTGGTATCTCAGACCAGGAGGGAATCGCACCCAGGACCGGCAGCTCTGCCCTTCCCCCACCATCCCCTCGGGTGAATCGCGCCATCGCTAGCATCAGCACCCAGAACAGGAACATTGTCAACACAAGTGCTTGGTGAATGCGGATACACAGGGTTGCCCCGAGGGCGAGGCAAGGAGGCAAGAAAGGTGAATATGAGAAATCTAACAACCTGAGGGTGGCGCAGTAGCTCACACCTGTAATCCCTGTGCTTTGGGAGGCTGAGGTGGGAGGATTGCTTGAGCCCAGGAGTTTGAGACCAACCTGGGCAACATAGTGAGACTCCCGTCTCTATCAAAAAAACTTTTCTTTTTTTCAAATTAGCTTGGCATGGTGCCACACACCTGTAGTCCCAGCTATTCAGGAGGCAGAGGCATGAGGATCGTGGACCCCAGGAGGTCAGGGACGCAGTGAGCCATGACCATGCTACTGCGCTCCAGCCTGGGCAAGACTGTGGCCCTGCTTCTTAAAAAAAAAAAAAAAAAAAAAAAAAAAAGTCTAGGCATGGTGGCTCACACCTGTAATCCCAGCACTTTGGAAGGCGGAGGCGGCCCAATCACATGAGATCAGGAGTTCAAGACCAGTCTGGCCAATATGGTAAACCACATCTCTACTAAAAATACAAAAATTCACCACGTGTGGTGGCAAGCACCCATAATCCCAGCTACTCAGAAGGCTGAGGTAGGAGTATCACATGAACCCGGGAGGCAGAGTTTGTAGTGAGCCGAGATCACGCAAGACTCTTTCTCAAAAAATAAAAATAAAAAAATCTAGGCCAGGCATGGTGGCTCACGCCTGCAATCCTAGCTCTTTGGGAGGCCGAGGCAGGTGAATCCCTTGAGCTCAGGAGTTCAAGACGAGCCTGGGCAACATGGCGAAACTCCTTCTCTGCTAAAAATACTAAAAATACAAAAATTAGCCGGGGAGTGGCGTGCACCTATAGTTCCAGCTACTTGGGAGGCTGAGGTGAGAGGATCACTTGAACCTCAAGGAAGTGGCTGCAATGACCTGAGATGATGCCACTGCACTCCAAACTGGGTGACAAAGTGAGACCCTGTCTCAAAAATAAATAAATAAATAAATAAATAAATAAATAAATAAATCTGACAACTGGAATGTTGGTGAGGATGTGAGGTAGGAAACACTCTAGATATGTGTTAATCCAGCCATTCTGACCCTGGGCACTCACCAGAGAGAAAGGATATTCACCAAGAGATATGTATAAAAAAGCTAAAAACAGCCGGGCGCGGTGGCTCAAGCCTGTAATCCCAGCACTTTGGGAGGCCAAGGCGGGTGGATCACGAGGTCAAGAGATCGAGACCATCCTGGTCAACATGGTGAAACCCCGTCTCTACCAAAAATACAAAAAATTATCTGGGCATGGTGGTGCGTGCCTGTAATCCCAGCTACTCAGGAGGCTGAGGCAGGAGAATTGCCTGAACCCAGGAGGCGGAGGCTGCGGTGAGCTGAGATCACGCCATTGCACTCCAGCCTGGGTAACAAGAGCGAAACTCCATCTCAAAAAAAAAAAAAAAAAAAAAACAGCTTTCTCTTTAAAGATTTTTTGAGACATAGGATCTCATTATGTTGCCCAATCTGGTCTCGAACTTCTGGCCTCCAGCAATCCTCCCTCCTGGGCCTCCCAAAGTGCTGGAATTACAGGCATGAGCCCCCACGCCTGGCCCTCAGAACAACTTTATCCACAATTGTCAACACCTTGTTTAGGCTCAGAAAACAATACCCCCCAAATGAAGGTCTCAGAAACAAGAGATTTTCTCTGACCTCATCCTATCCTGTCTCCAAGGCCCATTCTTTCCCCACACTTACCACAGAGACTAGAATCCTTTTTCCCCAAAATAAGACACTGAAACCAGAACCCCTTTTCCCCAGAACCAGCCATAAACCCTAAAAATATGAGTAACTTTCTGAGCGACCTGGTTTTGTGAAAATACACACACACACACACACACACAGACATATATGGATAACTTGCCCTCTGCCCTTCTGTGTAAAGCTGGCCATAAAGAAATTGGCCATGTGGCCAGGCACAGTGGCTCAGGCCTGTAATACTAGCACTTTGGGAGGCCAAGGTGGGTGGATCATGAGTTCAGGAGTTCAAGATCATCCTGGCTAACATGGTAAAACCACCGAGGTAAGCCTCGGTGACAGAGCAAGATTCCGTCTCAAAAATGAAGAAGAAATTGGCCAGGTGCAGTGGCTCACGCCTGTAATCCCAACACTTTGGGAGGCCAAGGCAGGTGGATCGTTTGAGGTCAGGAATTGGAGACCAGCCTGACCAACATGGTGAAACTCCGTCTCTACTAAAAGTCCAAAAAAATTAGCCGGGCACAGTGGCATGCATCTGTAATCCCAGCTCCTCGGGAGGCTGAGGCAGGAGAGTTGCTTGAACCTGGGAGGCAGAAGTTGCAGCGAGCCGAGATCGTGCCACTGCACTCCAGCCTGGGCGACAGAGTGAGACTCTGTCGCAGAAAAGAAAAAAAAACTAACCTACCTTGTTTATACGTCACAAGATCCCCATTCCAGCGAAGGTCCTGCCCCATACCCAGAAGGAAGGAATGCTGCTCAGAGAGTCTGGGAAGAATCCAGACAGACAGGCCTTGCAGAGTTTCCCCGCTCCGTCTCTGCTCATTGATCCTACCTTTTTTGCCCAATCTTTGTTTTTTATTTTGTTTTGTGTCTTGTTTTTTGGAGACAGAATCTTGTTCTGTCACCCAAGGCGGAGTGCAGTGACGTGATCTCGGCTCACTGAAAACTCCTCCTCCCGAATGCAAGTGATTCTCCTGCGTCAGCCTCCCAAGTAGCTGGGATTACAGGTACCCACCACCATGCCGGGCTAATGTTTGTATTTTTAGTAGAGACAGGGGTTCACCATATTGGCCAGGCTGATCTCGAACTCTTGATCTCAGGTGATCCTCCCGCCTCAGCCTCACAAAGTACGGGGATTACAGGCGTGAGCCTCTGCACCCGGCCAGCCCAATCTTATTTCTACAGCACTGCCCATACTTTGTTAAACCAAAGCATTAAAATAGACACCTTTCTCTGTGTCTTCGGGGGCTTCATTCTGAAGGTTCCCACGAATACACGTTAAATAAACTTGAATGCCTTTTTTCCTAGTAATCAATCAGCCTCATAGCAATGACTTTTTCGTGAACCTTCAGAAGGTCAAGGAGAACTTAACCCCTTAATTCCTGCAACCTGGAAATAACCCAAATGCCCACCAAGAGGTGAACGGATAAATAGTGAACAATTGGTACCCAGTGGCTATAAATTTATTTTTATTTTTTTGAGACAGAGTCTTACTCTGTCACCCAGGCTGGAGTGCAGTGGCATAATCTTGGCTCGCTTCAACCTCTGCCTCCCGGTTTCAAGTGATTCTCCTGCCTCAGTCTTCCAAGTAGCTGGAGTTAGGGCACCCGCCACCACACCCAGGTAATTTTTGTATTTTTAGTAGAGATGAGGTTTCGCCATGTTGGCCAGGCTGGTCTCGAACTCCTGACCTCAAGTGAGCAGCCCGCCTTGGCCTCCCAAAGTGTTGGGATTACAGGTGTGGCCACCGCACCCTGCCATCATTTATTTTAAGAACGATTTTATCTTAATATCTATAATACCTAACATCCTTCCAGTCTATAGCTTATCAGTCTCGTTACCTAATTATTCTTTCACTGCTCCAACAACAACCTATGTACCCTCTCACTAACCTTCTTTCCAGACCCATTCACATCCGCACTTCTAATCTTAACAGCCTGGCTTCTAGCGCTCAGAATGTTAGCCACTCACCACCACCTATTCAACATTCCCCGCCCGTGAAAAAGCCTTGACATTTCCATACTAATTCTCCTACAAACTTCCTTAATTATAGCTTTCACGGCTACAGAACGAATCATATTTTATCTCCTATTGAAAGCTACATTAATTCCCACTCTAATGATGATGATGATGATTATTATTATTTTTTTGAGACGGAGTTTCGCTGTTGTTGCCCAGACTGGAGTGCAGTGGCACGATCATGGCTCACCGCAACCTCCGCCTCCTGGGTTCAGGCAATTCTCCTGCCTCAACCTCCCGAGTAGCTAGGACTACAGGCACACACCATCATGCCCAGCTAATTTTTGTATTCTTAGTAGAGACGGGGTTTCACCTTGTTGAGCAGGATGGTCTTGATCTCTTGACCTCGTGATCCACCCGCCTCGGCCTCCCACAGTGCTGGGATTACAGGCGTGAGCCACCGCGCCCGGCCACTCTAATGATTATTACCCGCTGAGGATATCAACCAGAATGCCTCAATCCAGGCTCCTATTTCTTATTTTATTCACTAGTAGGATCCCTTCCCCTACTCGTTACACTTCTTTATACCCAAAACACCTTAGGGTCACTAAATATATTAACAACAACAATTATTGCTCAAGAACGATTATTCTCCTGAACCAACAATATTACATGACCAGCATGTATAACAGCCTTTATGGTCAAAATATCTCTAGATGCCGGGCGCGGTGGCTCATGCCTGTAATCCCAGCGCTTTGGGAGGCCGAGGCGGGTGGATCACGAGGTCAAGAGATCGAGACCATCCTGGTCAACATGGTGAAACCCCGTCTCTACTAAAAATACAAAACATTAGCTGGGCATGGTGGCGCGTGCCTGTAATCCCAGCTACTCAGGAGGTTGAGGCAGGAGAATTGCCTGAACCCAGGAGGCGGAGGTTGCGGTGAGCCGAGATCGCGCCATTGCACTCCGGCCTGGGAAGACGAAGCCCCTCCCCGTCTCAAAAAAAAAAAAAAAAAAAAAAATATATATATATATATATATGGACTCCATCATGACTCCCTAAAGCCCATGTAGAAGCCCCTATCGCCGGCTCAATAGTACTTGCAGCAGTACTGCTAAAAAGAAAGTCTCACTCTGTTGCCCAGGCTGGAGTGCAGTTGTGGAATCTCAGCTCACTGCAACTTCCACCTCCCGGGTTCAAGCCATTCTCCTGCCTCAGACTCCTGAGTAGCTGGGATTACAGGTGCGCACCACCATGCCCAGCTAACTTTTGCATTTTTAGTAGCTCACTGCAGCTTCAACCTCACCTGGGCTCGATGGGGTTTCGCTCTGTTGGTCAGGCTGGCCTTGAACTCTTGACCTTGTGACCCGCCCACCTTGGCCTCCCAAAGTGCTAGGATTACAGGCATGAGCCACTGCGTCTGGTCATCCCGCCATCATTTTTAAAAGAAAAACCCCACGGAAATGTTGGTGAGGATGTGGGGCTATTGGAACCCCCATAGGATGCTGGGAGGAGGCTGAAATAGTGCAGCTGTTGTGAAAAACAGTCTGGCCTTTCCGCAAAAAGCTAAACACAGGCCACGTGCTTCGGCTCATACCAGTAATCCTAACACTTTGGAAGGCCGAGGTGGGAGGATCGCTTGAGGCCAGGAGTTCAAGAGCAGCCTGGGGAATATAGCAAGTCTCCATCTCTAAAAAAAATAATTAAAAATTAAAGGACTGGGTGTGGTGGCTCATGCCTGTAATTCCAGCACTTTGGGTGGCCAGAGTGGGTGGATCATGGGTCAGGAGTTTGAGGCCAGCCTGACCAACATGGAGAAACCCCATCTCTACTATAAATACAAAATTAGCCGGGTGTGGTAGCACATGCCTGTAATCCCAGCTACTCAGGAGGCTGAAGCAGGAGAATCACTTGAATTTGGGAGGTGGAGGTTGGGGTGAGCCGAGATCACGCCATTACACTCCAGCCTGGGCAACAAGAGCAAAACTCCATCTACAAAAAAAAAAAAAAAAAAAAAAAAAAAAAATTGAATTAGCCAGGTATGGTGGCCATGCACCGGCCTGGTCGTGAAATTCTGGGCTCAAGAGATCCTCCTGCCTTGGCCTCCTAAAGTGCTAGGATTACAGTCATGAACCACCGGTCCCAGCTCCTCGAGAGGTTGGGGTGGGAGGGTTGTTTAGAGCTTGGGGGATCAAGGCTACCGTGAGCCATGAGTGTACCACTGCACGCCAGCCTGGGCCACAGGGGGAGACCCTGTCGAAAAAGAAGAAACAAAAGCTAAACATACAGTTACCATATGATCAAACAATTCCACTTCCAGGTACAAATCACAGAATTGAAAATGGGTACTCAGCTGGGTGCAGTGGCTCCCACCTGTAATCCCAGCACTTTGGGAGGCTGAGATGGGCCGATCACCTGAGGACAGGAGTTCGAGACCAGCCTGGCCAACATGGTGAAACCCTGTCTCTACTAAAAATACAAAAATTCGCCGGCCTTGGTGGTGTGGGTCTATAGTCCTGGCTACTTGAGATGCTGAGGCAGGAGAATCCCGTGAATCTGGGAGGAGAGGTTGCAGTGAGCTGAGATTGTGCCACTGCACTCCAGCCTGGGTGACAGAGTGACACTCCATCTCAAAAAAGAAAGGAAGGAAGGAAGGAATGGTGGGAGGGAAGGAAGGAGGGAGGGAGGGAAAGAGAAGAAAGAAAAGAAAGGAAGAAAAGAAAGAAGGAAGGAAGGAAAGAAAGAACAAACAGAGGGAAGGAGGGAAGGAAGAAAGGGAGGGAGAAAGAAAGAGAGAGAGGGAGGGAAGGAGGAAGAAAATGGGTACTCCAACAAAGACTTGTACAAAAATGTTCACAGCAAAAATTAGCCAAAAGGTGGCATCACAAGAGCCAATAATCATGCTAGCCAAAAGGTGGGAACAACCCAAATGTTTTTTTGTTTGTTTGTTTGTTTGTTTTGAGACGGAGTTTCGCTCTTGTTACCCAGGCTGGAGTGCAATGGCGCAATCTCGGCTCACTGCAACCTCCGCCTCCCGGGTTCAGGCAATTCTCCTGCCTCAGCCTCCTGAGTAGCTGGGATTACAGGCACGTGCCACCATGCCCAGATAATTTTTTGTAGTTTTCGTGGAGATGGGATTTCACCACGTTGACCAGGATGGTCTCGATCTCTTGACCTCGTGATCCACCCGCCTCGGCCTCCCAAAGTGCTGGGATAACAGGCGTGAGCCACCGCGCCCGGCCCCAAATGTTTATTAACGGATGAACGGACGAAGAAATGTGGCCCATCCATACACAGGAATATTATTCAGCCATAAAAAGGGGAATCAGGCTGCAACGTGAGTGAAGCTGGAAAACGCTGTGCTGTGTGAAGGAAGCCAGCTGCGAAAGGTCACTTACTCCAGGAAATGCCGAGAATGGACAAAACCTTAGGACAGGAGGCTGATGTGTGGTTGTGAGGGGCTAGGGGAGCTGTATCAGGGAGTGACTGCTGATGACGATGACGTTACTTTTCTTTT